TTCACATGCTTTAATTTGTTGTAATCCTTGCACCAATCCTGTAATGTGTGACTGAGCAAATTTTCACCTTCAGCACCACACCAGGGTCTAAAAATGGAAATACAAAAAACATCAAAACAAGAAGTGTTTTGATGGACCATTGGAAGAGCCTGTGACCTGTTGAGATGGGGTCTGATTTAAGTGTGGAGGCCATTAACTATCTGGGAGCTTTACTTTTCCCACTCCTGCAGTAAGGTTTAGATTGTACTATTAAACAGCATGTTTTGTTACTTAAGAAATGTCCATATTGCTTTAATTTCAAAAATTCCAAAATGGTTTGCTTATTTTGGAGTATTTTTATCCTACTCTTAACCATAAAGGTGCTCTTGAGAGGTTTACAGATTGTTAATTAGACTTCCCTGGCCTCAGGCTTACAATCTAAAAAGACATGACACAAAAGGAGACCGGATTGACAGTGGGGAAGGGACTCAAGTCCAGCAGATGTTGCTGGCTCTTTTCTCCCTCCAAGGCCAGGACAGTGGCAATTGAAATGGAAGGAAGATTCTTCATCACTATTTAGCGCTATTGCAATGGTAAAACACACAAAAAATCAGTAAGATGTAGTAATAAAACAGTGATAAAACAAAAAGAGCAATAAAATATTTCATTAGATATTGCATGGGGTAGCAGGGAACTAAGGCTGCATGAGCTTATTATGCCCAAGGCTAACTGGTGAGTTTGTGCTAGAGGCCAAGAATTGACTTATGACTTGCTGTTTTGTATCTCCTTCTCTTACCAGTTACACCTCACCAGTTTTCCACAACTGTCAGAATGTGCTATCAAAAAAGCTTGCTTAACATAATCCCTAAACATATTTCAAAATATCTGCAAATTTAGCTATAGTAAATCTCTCCTATTTTTTCCAGTGCCTGTGGCAAATATAACTATTTACTGGGGGTCTCTTCTGGTTTAAAAACCAAGCATCCATATTCCCTTAACGCTTCGCCTATCTTCAATATGCTTTCAGAAAAAAGGAGTTTCTTTTCATTATGCCACATTTCTGACATAGCTTATATCCAGCCAGTTACCTGATATGGCACTTTTTAAAAAACCAGCATAATCTACATCAGGGGTAGGCAACCTTTCCCCTTTAAGGGCCAAGGGACTTCAGCTCCCAGAATCCCAGGAGCTATTGGCCAACATGGGACTATTGGCCAACATGGCTGAGGCTTCTGGGAGCTGAAGTCCTTCGGCCCTTAAAGGGGAAAGGTTGCCTACCCCTGATCTGCATCATGTAAGAGTTAAAATATTTGCCATAAATTCATGCTGCTTCTCCATTTTACAGTGACTTTGTTTATTAACATTCACTTGTGATGGGTCCCATTTTTTTTATGCTACCTTGATATCAACTGGGAGTGTATTACTTTTTTGCTCTAGCAATTTGAGTTTTGAATTGTTTCGGCACAAGAAATTTTCTCCCAGGATTTTTTTTTTTTTGCTACCTTCACCACAGTCTTAAACTTTTATTTGGAAGTAAGTCCCTCTGATAGGGATGCAGTGGCTCAGATGGTTAAGATGCTGACTGTGTTGATCCCAAGATCGGCAGGTTGGCAGTTTGAGGCTTGGGTGCTGCATGTTGGGGTGAGCTCCTGTCACTAGCCCCAGCTTCTGCTAACCTAGCAGTTCAAAAGCATGCAAATACAAGTAGATAAATAAGTATGACTTGGGTGGGAAGGTAAACAGCATTCTGTGCAATCATGCTTTCCACATGATTACAGAGTAGTCTGACAATGCTGGCTTTTTGGCATAGCGACGGAGATGAGCACTTCCTCCTATGGTCAGACACAACTTGACAACCTTGTCAATGGGGAATACTTTAACTTTAATCTTTACTTTAAGTCCCTCTGGCTTCAGTGGGGCTTACTTCTATGATAGGTGTTCATACTTTTGCAGACTAATTGATTTTATGTTGCCAGATCATACACATTTGTTATCCATAGAATTAGGATTATCATGTAGATAACATGCTGAGTATATCCCATAATCATAACCCATAAGAGAGATATGGGGAGCAATTAATTGTATTTTTAATTACTGTTATCTAATTTGCTTGTATGTTTGGGGGGAAGGGTGGGTGGGTGAAGGAGGGATGGGATTTTAATTTGATGTATTGCTTTGAAGTTTTGTAATGTTGTACGCTGCCCCGATTGCCTGGCAGAGGGGCGGGATATAAATAAAAATTATTATTATTATTATTATTATTATTATTAACAAAATACTCTAATCACTGGTCACTTATTGGCACTTCCATATCCTGCTGAATGACCTAGTTGCCCTCTAGTGATTAAGTCTGTAAATCACTTTTCCTGTGCTGGAAAAAGTTAATGCTTTTAGCAGAATGTTCCTTCTCATAGTAGGGTTCATTTTAGTTGCTTTTGCTGATACATTCTTCTTATACCAGCTTTTAAAGCTTTTATTATCATGCTATTTTAACTCATGGATTCATTGTTTTTTCTTCCAAGAATAATTATGACTTCCTCAGGTGCTGGAATATATGGAAACTTTGGTCAGGCAAATTACAGTGCTGCCAAGCTTGGTCTTTTGGGTCTTGCGAACACCCTTGCAGTCGAAGGCAGGAAGTACAACATCCATTGTAACACCATTGCTCCCACTGCGGGATCCAGGCTTACTCAGACTATTATGCCTCAAGGTAAGTAATTTTAAGTGCTGTTAGTGAACTGGCAGATTTAGTATGGTGAAATTTCTCTGCTGATTCTCTGCCTCTGAATTGCCTTTGTTTTTTGAGTAAGCCTTGTATTTGGTCATTAAATCACTGGAAAGAAAGAGCAGAATGTTCTAGGAGTGAGAGGTAAAGTGTTGTCCTTTCCCCTCATCCCTCAAACTAATAGCACCACCTCTCATGATACCAGCTGCCATTAACAAATGAAAATTGATATACCGTATTAAAAAAAAGTATTCCTTTTAACTAGTCTCCAGTAAATATAAAGAATGGAATATAACAGTGTGCAGAAAGTAGGTCTATCCTAGTAGTCTTGATTACAAAACTAGTTTGTCTGTTTCCTCATGTGATGAGGATAAATTTCCCTTAAGCCATTGTGGTCCCTACTGGAAATAGTATATTGCCTAGATGAATCTCTAATCTACATAAACTTTTGAACTAGACTCCAGCTTCTTTTGGACCTTTGTAGATATTAGGGGGTTGATGGGGGGGTAGGTCATGGGGGTAGAAATTGTCGGACATTTGCTTCCTTTCCATCAGCTGTACCAACAAGAAGAGATAGGATCTGGTCTTCCAGCAGCTGGACAGCTGTAGGCTGTCACATCTGCCTTAATTGGCAATGAGAATAAAATGTTGTAATTCATACTTATTTCATATTACTGTAGTTGTTCGGGGTTAGAGAGAAAATATAGATATAACAAAAGAAGAGCTACTAAATACTGTTTCTGAAAAGCATGTGTTGTGGTTTAGTTGACTCAGAGAAAGAAGTGGGAGAAATTTTCTACTTTTTTATCTTTGGACTCTCTATGCAAATAATACATTGTATGCTTCCATACGAAACCATTAATGTGTTGTGACCATTTCATTTTCAAAGCAACTTCTATTCCATAACATCCCCTTGGATTTATTGTAGTTAGATACTTTTGCTTTGTCACTTGATATTAGTGACATTGGAATGGGCTCACCTGTATGTCAAAACTCCTCAGTCCTATGACCATCTATATAATTGTCAGTGGCTTCAGAGACACATACAAACCAGTAAGATGATGCTTTTGTTTTTGCATATGTTATTTTAACTCTTGACTATTCTGAATAAAATAAAACATTTTACCTGGTATATGATACAAATAATTTTGCATTTCTTAAATGTTCAGCTCACCCAGATGGCTACTGTAGGCATCTTAATATGCTTTCTGGCGATTTCAGCATATGAACTCTGCAGGTGTGCTTTTCATTCTCTTCTTAAAGGTGTGCACTTTATGCAGCATGCTAGGCTTTTTTATTAATCATCTGTGCCAGTTTAATAGGTACATGGTGCTTCAGAAGACAACAGTAAAAACTTTTCAGATGTGAAACAAGTAGCATTAACTGCTTTGGAAATGGTAGAAAATAATGTTGCAGCCTATATTGTGTGAAAGGTTCCCTCCTGAGTTGTTTGGGAGTACTGTTGTGCTGTGTTTAATTGGATATCGATTTTCTACTGCTCATGGTCTTTGTTATAAATCTTAGGAAGAAATATAAGTTTTTGTGAGACATGACAAATTTCAGAATTCCAGTTCCCCTTTCCTTTCCCATACCTGCATACACACAATAGCCATCCTTTTCCATAAACATTATTTTAATGTCCTTTTCATAATTTCCATATTAAGATTAAGTCAGATGACAGAAACAAATGTCACATAAGCATATGTCCAGTCACACAACATGACTTTCTTCTTCTCTCCTCTTGTAATTTCCCTTTTCATACACATATATATCCATCTTCTTCAATGATCAGAACAGATATGAAAGTGGAATTTCTTATTGTATGAGAAATCTCAGACCAACTGACTGATTCGGCTTTTGATAAGAAGTCTTTACAAAATACATGATCTCTGTATTGGCTTGTTTTTATTTTTTGCATTTGATTTTTTTTTTAAAAAAATGGTTTCCTGGCCTTTCAGAAAATGTTTCAAATGACTCACAAAGCCTCGTGATCTCTCCTGACATGTTAAGTAATGAAGAGTCTGATCTGAGGTCCAAAACACGCTGTAGAAATAATCCAGTTTTGAGGCTGCTTTAACTGCCCTGGATGCTAGGGAATTTTGGGAACTATAGTTTTGTGAGACATGTAGCCTTCCCTGTTAGGGAGCTCTGGTGCCACAATAAACTACAATTCCCAGGATTCCCTAGCACTGAGCCAGGACGGTTAAAGCGGTCTCAAACTGGATTGTTTCTGCAGTGTGCTTTGAACCAGTGTCTCCTATTCTGTTTTTATCCATATGAATAATGTCCATTATGGAGCTAGCATGGCACAGTGGTTTGAGTGTTGGACTAGGACTTTGGAGACCAGGGTTCAATTCCTTGCTTGGCCATGAAACCCACTGGGTGACCTTGGGCAAGTCACATGCTCTTAACCTGAAGGAAAGGCAATGGCAAAGTTCCTCTGAACAATTCTTGCTAAGAAAACCACATGATAAGTTCAGTTAGGGTTGCCATAAGTTGGAAATGACACAAAAACAGTGTTCTTTATAGTGTGATAAGTTGGATTGCTTAACAAGCTTCTTTCTAATTGTAGTTTCAGCAAAAGTAGTAAGAACTGCTAAGTAACAGGTGTGATAGTTAACAATACTTTGAAATGAGTAATTCTCAAATTAGACTCCTTGTACAACCCAAGATCACAGATACTAATCTCCTATCCTTAGTTATTATTGTTCCCATTTCAGATCATCTCCTTTCTCAATACAGATAATTCCAGGGACTTCTAGAAAAGTCTTAAGATTTGCAGTTTCAGAATTAATATTTGAATGCCTTGCTTACTTTTCTCTTTAAAGTTCAGATTGTCTCAAGGATCCAAAGATGTCTCCCCAGTCAAAGGGATATTATTATCCTACCTTGTTCTGACACATCAACTTTTTGATACCATTTGATGCTATGCACTATATAAAATAACATATTATCTACAAACAACTAATGAGGTTTTTTTTTTGTGAAAAATCAGTAACCAGTGGACAAAGCTAGAAGCTGGGACACTTGGGGGAAATAAATGTGGTACACTGAAGTAGGGTATTGTATCCCTAAACCCTACATTAGTGTACCACATTTATTTTCCCGATATGTCCCATCTTCTAAATATCGCATGGTCTCAAAAGCAAAAAATCATAGCAAATGCCATTACATCACTTTTAGCTTCTTACTTGTTTCTTTTGTATATTATTCCTGCTGTTCTAGAGTGTATAACATCTGCATTTATGGTATATGATATTTTAAATTCAATCTTGCCTAGATATGCTGGATGCTTTTAAGCCAGAATATGTGGCTCCTCTGGTCCTTTGGCTTTGTCATGAAAGTTGTCAAGAGAATAGCGGACTGTTTGAGGTAATGTCCATATGTTACCTTTTCTTGGCCTGACCACATTGCAACTCATCACAGTTTTCCCCATTTGCATGTTTGTACTCAAGAACTCACAGGTCTCTAATAAGTGCAAGAACCAGTTCTTGAATGATGGATGAAGCTGAATGTGCATTTTGCTGGATTCTTTGTATGTGAAACACAACAGTGATTTTGAATGCCATTGGTAAGCCATAAAAATGTGGGGCTTCTCAGCCTGAAACAAATGGGCAGAAACAGCTGTTTTCTCCATGCATTCTTGCATAATGATGAGATAGACAAGGATTTATATCTATAGCATTACATGGAAAAAGTTCACATTCTGAATAGGTTACAATTTCCCAACTGTGTTTTAATATTATGTTATTTCAATAATAAACACACCATAGTCCTCAGACAGGTAGAGTATGATGACAGAAATCCAGAATGGTCCAAAACAGTATATTGATAGATGGATCCTCAACTATTTTCCAGCTGGTAATTTTTGAGGGGGGGATTGTGCTCTGGATATGTAAATTATCTGTTATCTGTCATTGGTTATCATCAGTGTCTCATGTTCTAATTCTGATTCATTTTACTGAGTACCATTATTCATATAGCCACAGTGACAAGAGCCATTCACAAGACAGAGGTATCAGCAGATTCCCGATAATCCTAAAGTGTGCGTAATTTATATTGACCCCCTCCCCCCCAAAACCAAGATCTGAATATGTAGACTCCCCACAGAATAATGATTGCTTTGAGAAGAAAAGCTGAAAAATGAGTGGGAAGAGAAATTGAAAATAGAGCTATCAGCTTTGGATGTGGTATAACATCCTGGTTTCTTCCATAATGGTAACCATAATTTTCCATTTTGCATAGAAGATGAGGTATGGTTAAATAGAGGTTTCCTAACTGGATCATTCTCACAATAAAAGGAGGAATAACAAAGGGCTATTTATCCAGGCAAAAGATTCATGTGTAATAAGCCAAAATATGAACACTGGAATTGAGTCATGATGTCATTCCTGTTGAAGAGAGAGAAACTTTTTTCTTTTGTACCTAATTATAAAAGAATGTGAAATATTACCACTTATGTTATTGATTCCTAAATTTTATATTGTAGGTTGGAGCTGGATGGATTGGAAAATGTAAGTCCTTTAAAATGAAAAAATAAATAAATGATGGTTTTTAAAATATGGATTGTTTTAATATGTATGTGTCTTGTTTGTTCTTTTAAACTGATATGTGTTCTTAACTGATGTTGTGGTCTTTAACTGATGTTGTATATTTGTTGGTCTGTTGTTGTTTCCCACCTCGATCCATTGAGGAGAGCAATGGAATTCCAGAATATGGCATCACCTGATTCAGGGGGCAGGGCTACCAGGCAGGGGGTGGGGCTTCAGACCAGAAGGAGCGGGGCTTCCACAAGGAGGTGGGACAAGCGCGATTGGATTGAGCGCATGTGCACGCGCCCACTTCCCCTCCCTGCTGTGCCTCAGTTTTCCTCAGGTGAGAACTGAGCTGCAGCAAGGAGGTACAAGGGGTGTGCGCATGCTCAGGCCAGTTCCTTGCCAAGGCTCAGTTCTCCCAAGGAAAACTGAGCCATGGCAAGGAGGGGTGGGGGTGCGAGTGGAGGTGGGAGGGCCTGAATGGGTGTCACCTCCCTCTGGGGTCTGCACCCCCCCTGTGACACCAGTGGGGGAGGTGGGTAATCAATAATAATAATAATAATAATAATAATAATAATAATAATAAAATTCTCTCTCTCCCCCCCATACTGCAATTTTAACATTTGTAAATAGAATGTTGCATATTATTTTGGTCACTTGTTTTTAAAAGTACTTTATGATAGTTCTACTCAACTGTATAAAAGAAATGGGTTAGTTTCTTTAGCTAAGCCCTCTCAGCAGTGCCACACTATTGTTATTATAAGAAATTGACTGCCATGGTTGGACTTCAGTGCCATTTTGTGTGACTATGCTCAGTTCTTGCATAAAACTTTTCTGTAGAGCCTGCATCTGAGCATTATTCATAAGTGTTTTATGGTTGTTCTGTTGTATAAGGGCTCAAATTTTTCCATCACTGAATGTAAGCCAATTCAGCAGGGATGGGTAAGCAAGAGGTGCAGATGCAGGGGCTGGTTTTTACCCCCTGGGCTCCATCACAGGCTTCAGCACCACTGAAAATGTGTTTATAGTGGTTTTCTTTGTGTCTTTCCACAGAATGAGTTGGGTTTTTTCATGGACTATACATTTTTATTCACTTATGGTGGGTATTGTTGTCAAGAGTCTGGGGTTGTAAAAACAGGTGGATGGGCCTGTATGCTGCCTGTGAGCCACATGTTGCTTACTTCTGCAATAGAGGATTGTGAACCTTAATTGGATTTTATTTGAAATTGAGAGAGACCTACATTCCTTTTTTCATATGTTGTCAACTCTTAATTTTCAAAACACTACAGGCCACAAACCTGGATAAATACATGGCTAATAAAATCTGCTGAAGGAGACATTCTTGTCAGCATGATGCTCTCAGAATAATAAATATGTTTTTAACTTTTTAAAATTATTTGCATTATTTGAACTTTTTTACATTTCTTAGATTGGCTTTATTGCAGATCTCTAGATAGACAGCAGGATGTCAATATTTTAATAAAATAAAAATATTGTGGAGATCAACAGGCAGAAATAACCCAGATTCTATTTTTTTTGTGAGATAATCTGCTATTATACAATATCAAACAGAAAAAAATCCTGCAGATTCTTAGTGGCTATTATTGTTAATTCTTCATTAATATTTTTTCTTAATGCTGCTTGTTTAGTACGCTGGGAAAGATCCCTTGGAGCCATTGTCAGAGAGAAGAACCATCCAATGACACCGGAGGCTGTGCGAAATAAATGGGAAAAGATCTGTGACTTTGATAATGCGAACCACCCTCGCACTATCCAGGGTACAGGCAACTTTAAATTCATGACACTTTCTGTAATCTTATCCTCATCTTCTTTCCAAAGAAGGAAAAATGTCCTTAGTATTTTGTATTTTAGTTTTTGAAAAGTAGTCAACCATGTTATGGTACATGAATCACATTGGAGTCCTCATGGTGTTATGCCTTATGATACTGCATACGAGGAAAGAATGTTTAACTCTCTTTTCCAGGAGTGGCTTAGTTTGCTTAAACAATGTAGTAGTTCAACTTCTCGTTTTCTGAAGGGCAGCAGTAGTCTGGCAGTGAGATTCTTAGGAGTTCAGTTGCATCTGTATTGAATTAATTGAATATATAGGTAGAGTAGCCCTTATCCAAAATGCTTGGACCAGAAGTGTTCCATATTTTTTATTTTTTTCACATTTTGGAATATCTATACTATATTTGCATGTACATAATGAGACACGATGAAGCTGGATTGAGACTGAGGATCTGTGAAATGGCATGGTGGGAGGCATGGATTCCCACCATATCACAGATCCTTGAATCTTTCTCCAGTCACGTCTGTCTCCAACCTCACAAATACAGTCCAGGTATATATTATGCTCCTTGTGTTTTAGCTAAAAAAAAAGTTTTGAATTTTGGAGTACTTCAGATTTTAGAATTCCAGATAAAGGATACTTGACCTGTATAGCAATCCAAATGTAAAAATTAAAATTGTAAGTTGATGCTGTTGCATTCTAGAATGAATACTTTAGACTTGACAGCAGGTACATACATCTTTAGAGAAGACTCCCGCCTTCTCCTTTTAATTAAAATTTGAACACTTGACTTGATGGGTCACTGTCTCTATAAAAATCCATGTGTTTCTTAAAGGATATTCAAAGTATACCCATTTCCAGAGCAAGACATTTTTGACTATGTGGCTAGAAATAACATCAAGCAGTCTTCTAATGGATCAGATCCAAGATAGCCAAATGCCCTTGAGTCGATCTCAACTCATGGTGACCCCATGGATGAGACATCTCCAAGACCCTCTGTCCTCCACTGTTCTGCTTAATTCCTGCAATCCCATACCTGTGA